TTGCTGTGACAGCGTTTTGTAAGAAGAAAAATCATTAGAGAATTGTTAGCTTTGGGTGGTTGTTGTGCTTTGAATCGGTTTAATTTCCAGCTTCGGCAGGCATCACGCCAAAGGACTCTAAACAAGTGGACCCGGGACTCAGAAGGGGCCTGTGCTCTCCGTGTGTAGACAGAGGGCCCCTGCATCCTGAGCCCCGGCCCGGAGCCTTAAAGGCCAGGCGAGGGGAGGCGGTCAGCCTGCCCTGTGGACACAGGTGTATTGGCAGAGGCTCGCGTGCAATGCAGGAGTCATTGGCTTGGATGAGAAGTGAGGGGGCTTAGTCTCCTCTTGAGGTCTCTTCGAGAACGCATTCTGAGGGAACGCCGTGCTGTAAAAGTCTCAGCTCATAGATGCACAACGCAGACAAGACCCCAGCTGTTATGCAGTCCATATTCCGATTGCAGTTTTCAAATCCCTGATCAGAGAGGCACAAAGGGCCTGAGCAGACGTGTCTCCGGGGAAGACACACGGGACGCGGAATGCGCTCGGCTCACTCGTCATTAGAGAAATGTAAATTAAAGCCACACTGAGCTATCGCCACGGCGTGTTAGAAAGCTGGAATCCCAAAGATAAGGTGACAAGTGTTGCGAGGAGGCGGGGCAAGGGAACTCTGCTCTTGCCGAGATTGCACACTGCCGCAGCAAGCTGCGAAGCTACCTGGAGGTATCTCAGGAAATTAAAGCCAGAAGTCTCCTGCGGCCTGGCAGCCCCGCTGCGTCTGTCCCCGGGAAGGCAGCCGCGTCCTGGCTTCCCACGGCCGCCGCCGCGTGGGGTTTGAGGACACACAGAAGTGTCCCGCGAAGGGCGAGTGGACAAGGAGAAGGCGAGGCGTGTGTTTACAATGGGACGTTATTCAGCCTAAAAAGGAGAAGGAAATCCCGCCATTTGCAACAGCATGGGTGCATCCAGACGGCGACTCTTCTGCACGGTGTATTTTAGCCACTCGGGATGGCTAACCTGGGAAGCAAGGATTGCTGCAAAATGGCAGGACCTACTATTGATAAGATGCACAATGTGGGGCCTCCCTGGGGGCGCAAGGGGTTAAGTCGCAGCTCTATGAAGCTATGGGCAGCCACCTCAGCCTGAGTTCCATCCCCAGCCAGGGAGCTACCCACATGGCACGGCAGACCTCTCCTGTTTCCCCTCTGCTCCCCTCAGCAGTGCATTTCAGTGGATCCGCCTGTTTTGCTCCCCACTCTGTCTCTGGCGAATCCTCTCTTCCCCCACACCTCTGGCCTGTACCCCGATTCTTATATGCATAAATAAATATTTAAAAAAATATATTGCAGAGTGTGACTGGAACTTGCTAAGCTAATAGAGCGTCAGTGCTCACACGCAGCAGTGGAGGTAAATGCACGAGGTGCTGGGCTGACGATTCACCCCTCCCCAAGGGGTCTGTTTGGGCGTCTGTTTATTTAGGGATGTGACCAACCCAATTCTGCAGATTGCCCTGCAGTGTAAAATCTTTAATAGCCCAGTTCAGATTTATTTTCCTTTTTTATCTTTTAACCTGGGGTCACCCTGGATGGGTAGATTAAGCCACTTAGGGGCCCAAGGTTGTGTGTCATCCCCTTGAAGAGCTGCTGTGGCCTTCAGCTTAGAAATGTGGCTACAGGCCAGCGAGGTCATGGGGATTTGCCTGGTTCCGCTGGGGCTGGCAGATGGGGAGCCCCCTCCTGACGGCTCAGGGAGCAGGAATGTGGGCCAGGCCTGCGTGTCTCTGCCTCCTTCTGATGTGGGGGGACTGTTTTGTAAGCCTTGCTCCTCGCCCCTCCCTCACAGTAGCTCCCAGTTTTCTGGACTTGCCCATCCAGCCACCTGGGAGCGAGCTGGGAGGGCCTCAGGCCTGGGTGCCCCTGCCACACTCCAGCGGGGGCCGGTGGGAGCAGGAACCCCCAGTGTCTGCCTGGGGTGTGGCTAAGAAACGCCAGCAACTTGGCCTAACCAGGGTTAAATCTGGGGCCCCAGGGGGAGCTGGGGGGAGAGGGATCCCCAGTCTTCTTGGCTTTGGGTGCCCTGTCCAGGCTAGAGTGTCTGCACCCCGGGGTGCCAGGGTCAGGAACTGATCGAGGGCAAAGGCTGCAAACCTCCACTGCTGAGACCGGAGCTGCCGCGTCTGTCCTGCTGGTGCCTGAAACTGGCAGGAAGCACCCGGCTTCCGCGGACGGGCTCTCCCGCAGAGCGCCCCGACCTCTGCCTCAGCCCCTGAGTTTCCTGAGACTCACAGCCCCTCCCCGCTGCCTGCCCGAGACCCACGACCCTCCAGCTCGTTGTGACAGCAGCAGAGGCTGATTCGGACCCCGAGGCCCGGCCCGGCCTCCTCACGCGCTTCCCCGTGTGCGCTGGTGAGTGGCGCTGACAGTCACTGTCTTTGTTGACAAGATGGAAATGATGTTTACGCAGCCGCGTGGAGTTCTGAGCACTAACGTCTGTGCTTAGGTGAAAGTTAGTATTCAAAAAAATAGACTAAGGGAGCCAAAAGGGTGTTTTTTGCTGCCGTCCCAGGCCGGATCAGTTCTTGACGGTTCTAGCGATTTGAAGGATCCTGGCGCCCTGGGCGTGGATAAGGGAGACAGCAGTTTGCTCCCCTCCCCAGGTGACGCCGCCCTTTCTCCCCTCCCTCCGGCGCAGGTGTGCACACTTGCACACGCACACACCCCCGTGCTCAGATTCCACAGTCAGGCCCGCCCCCCTCACCCACACGCCTTCTGCGTAGACAAGATCAGGCCTCAGGTGATGGCCACAGAGGCCAGAGGCGTAGAAAGCCCAACACCTTCATTCGCGCTTCAGGGAGGCAGCAGGGCGAGACCAACAGGGTCCCCTCCCACCACAGCCAGGACGCGGGGTGCACCCTTCAAGGCCAAGGGCCCCCAGGGAGTCTCTGCCGCTCATGGGAAGAGGCGCCTCAGTAGCTGCCCCACAGCCTGGCTCCAGCTGCCTGGGCTGATGGGCGGGGGACCTACCTGGACAGGTTTCAGCTTCGGGACCTTGATGGGGCTGAGGGGAGACCAGCAGTGTGGCTTGACTTGAGGCTGTGGTGCCAACAGGCCCAGGGCAGGAGCTCTACCCATTCCTTTCAGCAGGCAGGTAACAGAGAGCCCCGGAGCCCTCAGCGTCATTTTCAGGGTTTTACTGACCTTTCTGCACCATTTGTAGTGAGGCGCCAGGTGCAGGGCAGTTAGGGGGGCCAGGAGGCTGGTTGGCCTCCTGGACCCCGCCAAATCCTTACTCTGGGCTCTCTCTGACATTCTCTTGTGCTCACTTCTTCTGCCGTAGCCTGTGTGACGCCGCCCTTAAAGCCTCCGCCTCCAGGCTCAGCTGTGCCCACTCACGCAGGCCCACGCCACACCCCAGGTGTCACCATCAGGCCCGCGTGCCCTGCACCCACACTCCCAAGCACCTCCTGCATTCAAGGCTGCAGAGGCCAGAGGCATCAAAGCCTGGCCATTGCACTCACACTACCAGGCGCTGGGGGCTGCTCAGGGCTTCTGAAAATCAGTGCATTCAGGAGTGATGGGAAATTACGCAAGTAGCAGAATCACAGACTTTCCTACACACAGAGACAGTGCGGGGCCAGCGGAAGCCGGAGGCGGCGCAGGGACATGGAAGGAGGCAGCTTCCAGGCCTTTCTCGGAGCTGGAAGGAAGCAGCAGCGACTTTGCCACATACAAGAAGTTTGACCTTCCTTCATGTTAATTAATGAAGACATTTCAAGGTGTCTTTTCCGTTCAAGCAATAAAAGATTCGGGGTGACATTTACAGGTTTTAAGCTTCCAAACACCTTTCATGAATATTGTTCTCACCTGGGCATCAAGTTTCACGCGGTGCTCAACTCCAGCTTAACAGCCGCTGACAGCAAACCCCACACAAGAAATAGTTTTATTACTTAGATCACCCAATCATGCCCTGAATTGAGCCCCAAAACTCCAGTCTGGAGGCTCCAGGAATGTTCTGAAGAGTAGAAAATCAAGCCTGAAGTTTCAAACAAGGTAACTGCCCTCAAGTCATCATAGAGGAGCCACGAGGAGGCCGTGCAGACCATTTATTCATCACAGAGACCCTATAGCTAACCTCGTGCTGCAGAACATACCTAAGTTAAGCCCCCCAAGTTCTAAATCACCACCCCCACACAGGCATGGGTCCAGATGATGCCTTTCGTTACCTCTCAAGGCACAGGTGTCACATCTGTCATCTAGATGAGGCAACCGGCCTTGCCCCGTGACTTGAGAGCCCATATACCCATCTCATTCACAGCGTAGGTGGCATAACCCCTCTGAGCCCCCTCTGAGCCCTAACACTTCCCCGGTGCCTGTGGTTTGACTTCCCATTGATTGATCGTGTTCCCCACTCGCTGTGAGCTACTGAATCTTCCCCTGCATCCCTCATGCTCAAGAGACCCTCTGGATGGGTGCATGGGTGGGTGGGCGGATGGGTGGGTGGGCGGATGGACAGGGTCCTTGGTGATGACAGAGCATACATGGTAAATCTCCATTTTCCAGCCTCACTTTCCAGATTCCCTTCCCAGCCTTCTCCAGCCACGGAAGTCTGGCCTCCCATGACCTCCTTGCGCCTGCCCGTGCCTCCTCGAAGTCATCATTGCATCACCACGCAACAAGGCCGGGTCCTCCTGTGTTCCTTGTGCATTCCACGGGCTTCCATCGGGCACAGACTTCTGTGGGGGCCCCCAAAACTGTCAAGGACCCTCCTCTCCCCAGCTGGTGCCCAGGTCCACAGAGTCCAACTGTGGTACCGACATGGAGGTATTCATTTTGCCCCAAGGTAACTCTAGGCTCACTTCCGCTTCTCTGGATGTATTTGGCTTGTGTACACCGGATTCCAGTTAATCTCAATATTAGTCATTTTTATTTCTAATTAGCCCTGCAACACATAACAAATCTTAAAAACAAAAAATCGCAACTTATGCTGAGAATGAAGACATACTAGACCATTATCTTGGCAGACGTTGTGTTTATAATTTTTATAATCAATACAGAATGTCCCTGTTTAGCATTATATATTATATATGTAATTTTATGTATATATGTATATATATTAGATATCTGTACTTCGATAGAAAGAGACATAGAAAAGCCTTTTCAAATGAGGCATGACACGCAATACTAGACACTCTTATTTACAATATAGAGATGTTCTTTCTACACAGTCATGATGCTCGGAGACCAGAGAGGGTTTACAGAGACAGCTGAGCACCCCTAGAAAAGAGAGGTGCATGAGTAGCTGGACGTTTATTGCCATTAGTTCTCACCATGTCCAGACAGCACATTGAAGTTAAAAATGGCATCTGGTTATTGGAAAGGACCGTGGTGGTTGGATTCTCCCAGACCCCACAGCCTGGCTACGGGGTCTGAAAACTGAGCGGGGGCAACCGACTTCCTGATGGGGATTGGGAGCACAGAACAGGAGGCCTCCCCCGCGGCCCAGGGCTCCTCCTTTGGCCAAAGCAGAGACGTGCTATCAACGTCTGGCCCAGCGTGAGCACGGACCCTCGTCCAGGCAGGGGCCATGTCATCACAGGCCACACTAGCAGGGGCCGGTCCTCCCGGGCAGCAGAGCAGGTGGGTGCTGCCCACGGGCAGCCAGAGCTGTGTCCAGTGAGACATGCAAAATACACAGCGAGCTAAGCAGGGGTTCCCTGACCCCAAACATTTTAAGACAAGAACACAGTGCAAGTTCGGAAAAGACCTACCATGTCTGCCTTTGCAGAACCTTCAACCCCTCCCCTTGTGGATTTCGGAAACGCACAAGTCTTCCCTCCTGCAGAGCTGGCGACCTAGACTTACTTCTCTGGCTGGGATCGCAAATGTTTGGGAAGCCTTTGTTTTCCAAAGTCACGTTAATATATAAGGAAACAGTTCCCAGATGAGCTGTGGATTTGCTTGGCTTCCTCACCGGTGTGTTGATGAGCTCGAGTCACCGCCCAGGCGCGGGAGTCTGGTCCCAGATGAGCGTCAGCCCTTCAGAGGGTCTCGTACAGAAGCGGGGTTCTCACCTCAGGAGGAGTCTCCTGTGTTAGTCACCCCGGCTGACCTGGTTCACAGCTCCCAGCACAGCTGGACGCTTCTTTTGGCTTCCTTCCTCCCAGAGCACATTCTCCCTGGGGCCACCTTAGACATCCTGGTAATTTTCAAAACCTCCCTTAAGTCTCTTACCAACAACAACTTGCATTGGGTCTCCGATCCAGCTGTTCTCTCTGATCTCACTTCTGCCCCTGCTGTCAGTTTCTGAACAAGGGTGACCTTTCCTAGCCCTTTATTTTCCTAAGGCAAGAAGACATTTCTATTGAAAGATAGCCAGCACCCTTCTTAGAGCTCCCCTGAGGTTTTTAATCCAGCACCCCTCCATTTAGATGCCTTTCTCCTTCCTGAGAGAGGAGAAGCAGCTGACCGTGCAAATGGTTTTAGTTTTTTGCAATTGCATCAAATGCTAACATAGCATTTCTTTGGAAGTGTACCAGCAGGAGCATCCACATGCGCGCATTAATCTCCATGCCCCCCCTTTAGTTTAAGGTTTAGTTTAAGTTGATTTTCCCTACGACAGAAAGGTTGAAGCCATCACAGAAACAATTTGTGGAACCAGGGCTATGCATAGAAAAGTCTGGAGAAGCAGGAGGAACTAGGAGCTCCCAGGGTCCCCAAGTTACTCTTCTTTGTAACAAACTTGCATTTGCCAGAACATCACCTGCACCCCCCTAACTTCAAAACCCCACCCACTGCTGTTATGAACTGAAGTTGGAGTTTATAAAGCATTCCTTTGCCCCTCGGGGAGCGAACATGAGGAGGGGGTGAGAGAATGGACATCACATGGTCTCCAGTGGCACATGAGACTCTAGTAAGGGTCATATTTACATAGATATGTCCCACTTCTGCACAGAGATTAACCTGAGTTCTGAAATGCTTGTGTGCACTTAATTGGATCAAAAATGATAAAGCTATGAGCTAGTAACAGACTGAACAAATCTAGTTAAACTGGACACTCCCCATGAGCCAAGGGTGGTTCAAAAGGTGGGCTCACCGCTGCAAGGGTCTGTTTATTTTTTCATCTTTTTCCTAGAAAGCATCTCAAATGAGACTCCAGGTGGCTAGACAGGGTCAGGCAGAATCTGTTGTCCTTCACACTACTGGTTCAGCCTTCCCAGATCTCCAAAATGAAAGCACCTGGAATGTCAGCCCCACCCGCCCTCCACCCTTCCTCTGAGAGCCCCAGTCTGGAAGGGCAGACGCCTACAAAAGGATGTCCCAGCTAAAGCCTCCACGGGTCTTAGGCATTTCTGGCGAGCTCCCCGAGGCCCATGCCCTCAGAGCACTACTTGAAGTAGTTGAGTCCTGCCACCAGGAAGAACTTCTCTAGAAACAGTTCTGAGTCCAGCACTGCGATGTGGGCGGCGCGCCCGATCAGGGTGTTGGCCGTGCTGGGCAAGGAGTGGAACACGTTGTGTCGGATCAACGTGCAGCCCTTGGCCTCCACCAGCGGGCGGAGAAGGTTGTTGATCATTTCTGCATAAACCGGCCCTGCAGAGGAGGAAGAACACAGGGTCACCTCAAACAGAGTCCAGACACAGATGCCAGGTGTGGCTGCTCCTGGGCAGACCCCCAGGCACCAGTCTTCAACCTCCCCTCGATGTTCTGAAACAAACAAATAAAATCAGAGTTCTCTTGTCTAGTCAAGTTGGAAACGACCACTGCTGTTATTGAGGGTGATGGTGGTAGAGCTGGTGACAGTGATGGTGACAATGGTGATGGAGATAATGGTGAGGGAGGTGATGGTAGGGGTGGTAGTGATGATGGTGATGGTGGTGGCGGTGAAGGTAACAGTGATGATGATGATAATGATGGCATTGATGATGGTGGAGGTGATGATGGGGGTGAGGGAGATAGTGGTGGTGGTGACAGTGATGGGGATGGTGGTGGTGGTGATGATGGTGGTCACAGAGATGATGGTGGTGGTGGTAATGTGGGTGGTAGTGATGATGGTGGTGGTGATGGTGGTGATGATGATGGTGGAGGAGGTGATGATGGTGATGGAGGTGATGATGATGGTAGTTGAGGTGATGATGGTGATGGTGGTGGAGGTGATGATGATGATGGTGATGATGGTGATGGTGGTGGTGGAGGCGATGGTGATGGTGGAGGTGATGATGGTGGTGGTAATGTGGGTGGTAGTGATGATGGTGGTGGTGATGATGGTGATGGTGATAGTGGAGGAGGTGATGATGGTGATGGAGGTGATGATGGTGGTAGTTGAGGTGATGATGGTGATGGTGGTGGAGGTGATGATGATGATGGTGATGGTGATGGTGATGATGGTGATGGTGATGGTGGAGGTGATGATGGTGGTGGTAATGTGGGTGGTAGTGATGATGGTGGTGATGATGATGGTGGAGGAGGTGATGATGGTGATGGAGGTGATGATGGTGGTAGTTGAGGTGATGGTGATGATGGTGATGGAGGTGATGATGGTGGTAGTTGAGGTGATGATGGTGATGGTGGTGGAGGTGATGATGATGATGGTGATGATGGTGATGGTGATGGTGGAGGTGATGATGGTGGTGCTGAAGGTGATGCCACTGTGGTGATGGTGGTGGTGGTGAAGGGGGTGATGGTGGTTGTGTCTGTGTGCCCCTGTGTCATGTAGTGGGTGCTACGTGGGCTGCTCCCCAAGGCTACACACACTGATGTTGAAACTTACACCCCAAGCCACAGCCCACCTCAGACCTGCCAAGGTCCTGGGGAGCGTTGGCCCTGCTACTCTGAGAGCAGGGACCTGCTGAACATCTCACTTCTGAGCCCCAGGCCCAGATATTGGCATTGAGCATATGACAGGCATAGTCCCGCGTCACGCAGGTATGACCCAAAGCTGTGCAAGGAGCAGCAGCTCAGCATAACGACTGTTTCCTCTGGCTTTTCAAAGCTGCAGAGAGACAGAAAAGTAACAGACGTATGTCTCTGCGCCTCCCCCAGTCCTGTCCAGGTGGCTGGGAGGCAGACATGACACCCCCTTCAAGTCAGGGGTGTTGTGCAAAAGGACCCTGTTCTCCCCTCCTCGCTGGCCTTTTGGGGCCCAGACAGGGTGCCTGGTCTGGGAGGGACAGTGAGGAGCAGGTGGAGTTCCTGTGGAGTGAGACCTCCTGCAGCAGTGATGCCTGTAGATGAGAAAAGACACCCAAGGGGCCCCAGGGGGCTCACCCGCGTGCCGGTCTTTGAGGGCCGTCTTGCACATCTCGATCCTGGCGGAGTGGAATGGCACGTATCGGTCCTGGGGGGACGCCACCAGCACGACATTCTTGAAATACTGCAGCCCTGCAACAGCGGGTGGGTCAGCTGCGGCCTCCCTCCGTGCTCTGTGGACTCGGGGACCGAGCGATCGGGTCATTGCAGACTGGCCTGGGCTGAGAGGCTGAGGAAAGGACCTGCTGCCCCGGGGCTTTGCACCGCAAAGGGGAGAGGGAGGCTTGTTCTCAGGGCATGAATGCCAAGGAGACGCCTGGTGGAGAGTAAGCCTCACAGAAGTGACCACAAAGCCTCAGAGCTGCAGGTATTTTAAAGAGCCCTAAGGAAGTAGATCCAGTATTTTGTTCCTCCTGTTTGAGCCCCTCCAGCTCCTTAACCTTTGGCTATTGTCACACTGTGTAACCTGCTGCGAGAAAGTCACATCCCTCCTGTCTCATCCATGCCCAAGCAGAGGGAGCCTCTAAATGTAACCTCAGGAGGCGCATCCTTCCGCCTCAGGCCCAGCAGGGGCTCCGGGTCCTCTCTCGCAGCCCAATGACCCCTTTCAAGGGACATCTCCAAGGCAGTGGACCCCCTCATCCGAGACCCCAAGACCACGCCCTGGGGACAGGCCAGTCTAGGACAGGTGGGGTAGGGATGTGAGGTGAAGCCCTGCTCTCCCTCTGGACAGCCCTGCGGGTGCCCCACCGCCCACCTGCCCTGGGGAGGGGGTCACTGAGATCTCTGTGGGGACCTCACTGCAGGCCATCTCCTCCTCTGCCCAGTCCCGCACCCCTCACTCTTCATGGGGGTGAGCCTGAGAGGTGCAGCCGGACACGCAGAGATGCAGGTGGAAGGGGGGAGCGAGCCTGGGCTCTACCCCAGCCCGTGGCCATGCAGCTGCGTGCAGGGAGGCCCACAGCTTTGGCACGCCGGGCCTGGGACTGCAGGGAGATGGGAACCGCGCCTGGCCTGGGCCTGGCCAGCTTGCTCTGTCAGCTCTTCTGCTCCCTTACTGGACATGGGCATCGCTGCCGTTCACACCCCTGAAGCAGGCAGGGCCCCTGCCCCTCTCTGCGCAGGGTGGGTGGAGGCGAGCGAGTGGCCTCCTGCCAAAAAGTGACACTGGGACCAGCAAGTTTGTAGGAGGGTGTGCAACTCGGGGAGAAGCCGTGAGCAGGCCCAGCAGCACAGGGAGGAAAGGACCGGCAGGAGGCAGAGGCTACAGCTCCTGGGTGTGGCGACCCCCCGGCACACGCCTAGTCTCTCATCTGTGATCCTTCACCCTCGGGGGGCTGGGGAGAGGCTCCCGCGTGGTCTTGGGTAGCCGTTGGCCTCCCAATGCACTGCAGAGGTTGTGCACGCCGGCCCTCCAGCACAACCCTCCAAGGAAGCCCAGGGCAGCCGTGGCCCAGCGCCCACCCAGGCCCAGGCGCGAGGGCCGCGCGGGCAGTCACCTGTCTTCTGGCTGAGCTGGTAGAGGAAGCACTTGCGCAGGTCCGCGTTGTCCCTGAAGGCCAGCTGCAGCAGCGACCCCGACTTCTTCAGCTTCTGCATGAGCCACAAGCCTGACAGCCACGTGCAGCGTGAAACACAAAGCAAGACCATGCAAGCAAAGAAAGAAAAAAATGGAGGCGAGATTAACTTTAAACCATGATATATAATTAATTTTAAGAATAAAGGTTTCGTGGGCATTTGAGCAAATACTCGGGAGTTAGAGGCCCACGTGCCTGCTCGTGTGCGGGCCGCAGGGACCTCAGCTCAGTCTGCAAATGCTGGGGCGGACTTCAAGAGGCATGAAGGACAGGAGCCCTGCAGCGTGGGGGCCAGGCCCCCCCGGGATGCAGCCCTAACACAGTCCCCAAATCCAAATGCCCCAGACGCTCATGTCAGCCTTCACCTTGGACTTACGGCCTCCAGGACTGGGGGGGGGTGAACTTCTGCCCCCTTGGCCACCTGCTCCATGGAGGTTTGTCCTCATGGCCTGAGTGGACCGAGGTGGTGTGCTCTCCCGTCACTCCTGCGCCACCTCCCTCTCTCCCAGCCAAAAGCCTGAGGGCAGCACCCGCCTGCTCACACCGGGGTGGCGGGAGCCTGGAGCTCTCCTCTCTCAGCTCACCCATGAAAGAGCCCCCTCTGTGGCCAGGTGCCACCCCGTCCCTGGCCGTGAAGCCCCTCCCTCCGCCTGTGAGTCTCAGGACAGGGCCGGGCCTTACCCGTGCTGACCAGGGTGCTGTTGTTGTACAGGGTCCCGAGGTGAGGCCCGGATAGCGACAGGAACGTGTGGAGCTTGCTGAGGTAATACCGGAAGCGGGGCCTGGTCAGGACCGAGCGGATGATGATGTTGCCCAGTGAGTGGCCAATGAAGCTGAGGACAGACGGGCGGTGAGCGCCAGCCCGGGCAGGAAAGGGCCGCACGGGACCCAGGGGGTCAGCACCCCCCCTCCAGTGGACTGAGGAGTACCAAGGGCAAAGAGAGCAGGGCAGGGCGCTAGTTCACCCCGGCCCGGTGTCCCCCCGGCCATGCTAAGCTGGGAATCCGGAGCTGACGCCTCTGTGCCCAGGGCAGTCAGGACAGGGGCATCGTGCCCAGGGTGTATTATAACAGCAGCCCCCGAGGGCTCCAGGTCCCTCCGTGCCCCTGGGGGTCCTTTCTGAAATAAATACTGAGCCACTGGGCCCCCTGGCCACTCACTGGATCAGGTCCCCACTCCCCAGTTGGCCCTCGGGACCTCGCTGGCTGCCCTGTGACCCCTCCTGGTCTGTGTCACGCACTGGCCCACGGCGCAGGCACTGAGCTGTCCATTCCCAGCCACATGGACCCGACCCCTCCTAGCGGCTCTGCCGCCCTGCCTGCCCCCCGCCCGTCCATCCAGCCCAGCTCCACCGTCCAGAGAGACACTAGTGACTATCAAGACCTGCCTCGTCTCGGGAGAGGCATCAAGCAGCCAAGGAAAGGGAATGAGTGACCGTCCGAGGAGCTGCCTGGCCTGGTCTGTGTCCTTTTGTTTGGGCCTAATCCCTGCAGCCCCATCTGTGACACAGACAGGGGACAGTTTGCCCCTGGGGCCCCAGCGGGGTCGCGATGCTGGCTCGCGGGGTGCCTGCACCTTGCAAGTGCAGCGCATCCCAGCTCTTCGCTACCGCCTTGATCATTCAGCATTTACGCCCCATGACCTGCCACAATCAAGAGACAGACCAGCACTGATTTAAAGCTCTAGCTGCGCAGGTGGCCCACTCAGCTACAGGACGGGGAGCTGGGGGGTGGCCCGCTTAGCGGAAGGGACAGAGGCTCGGAGATCAGAGCCTGCAAAGGGCAGCAAGGCGGAGCAGCCAGCACGCCCCTCTGCTCTGGTCCTCTCCACCGAAGGCCGCCAGCTTCCGTCCCAGCGGTGACGAGGCATCACGCTGACCTGCGCCCAGCACACACTCCAAAACCTCGCCGGCGCCACCCCTCCAGCCAGCACGAGCCCCGGGACTCCGCGCACCTGATCCGGGATATGGAGAGGTTGTACAGCTGGATGTGCTGGATGATCTCGTCCAACAGCCGGTCCGTCATGGTGTCGAAGTCTGCAAACGTGTCCATCTGAAGAGACGAGAGGAAACAGGGCTGGGGGCATCGCAAGGCCAGACTCAGGGCAAAGCCCCTCTTTATTCCCTCAGGCGCTTCCTGGGCGGGCAGTTTTGGGGGCGATCAGGATAGGTGGGAAGAGGGTACTCGGCGGAAGACTGGGGAGGGGAGCTGCGGGGGTCAGGTTGAGTCAGCAGCCCCGGCTGCATCAGAGTAGCTGCAGGTGCTCACGCAGGAGCCTATACTCCCTTAGGGCGTGGATCCCATGGGGCGCGGGGTGCACAGATGTTACCTTCCTGCAGAGCATCTGTCCCCCTCCCTAGCCAGCTGACTCTGGACCCTGGACAGCTGTCAGGCTGCCGGTGCCTGCCCCGGGAGCAGGAGCTGACACCCCAGACTCCCTCAGAAGTTGCAAAGAGTCAGTGAAGACACAGCTACAGGGCGTTGAGCACCCAGTAGGTGCGCACAATTGTCCCTCCCGGCAGCGCTGGGACTCTCCGTACATCCCACTTTCAAAGGCCCTGGGACCTTTGGTTACAAGCAGTTCAGGCCTCTAAACGCTGCTTAGTGCTCATCCATGCAAGCCGTAAGGGGTGGCAGCCCCCAGCGCCGCCCCGCCCCGCTCTGCTCATGGATTCTCTAAATTCTCATCGACTTGGACACCTCTTAGGGTCCCAGGCACCATCTCCCTGAAATGACAAAGTCCCCACAGGCCGGTCTCCTTTGATGGAAAAGGGATCAGAGCTTTGCATAAAGCTCCCCACGAGGCCTCGGGTACCCACGCCACACACGTGCTGAGTGGCCACCCACCCTCACACCCTGTGAGGCGTCAGCCCCAGCCCCCCAGTGTACATCCCCCCTCTGACTTTCCCTCACTCTCCCAAAGAAACCAAGGAACCCCTCTGCCTCCTTGGCTCGCGGCTGGCACGTCAGGGTCCATGGGTGGTCACACCACTCCTGGAGGCTCGTCAGACATGTGTCTTCCCGTGCGATGCCATGTTGCCATACCTGGTTCTTCTCGGACATCAGGAAGTCCAGTTTCCCTCCAGGGAGCCCCAGCTCTATGAAAGTCTTCACCAGTCGGAGGTCCGCACTGTTCCCTAAAATCGACAGATATCCCCGCGCAGCCCATTACTCATCACCTAAAAGCCAATACGAGGGCCTCCCTGGTGGCGCAGGGGTTAAATCAGCACCGTCAAGCTACCACCAGCCACTGCAGCCTGAGTTCAATCCCCGGCCAGGGAGTGACCCACATGGCGCAGCAGACCTCTCCTGTCTCCCCGCTGCTCCCCTCAGCAGTGTGTTTCAGTAGATCTGCCTGTTCTGCTCCCCACTCTGTCTCTGGTGAATCCTCTCACCCCTGCACCTCGGGCCTGCACCCCAGTTCTTGTATTCATAAATAAATAAAAAGAAATCTTTAAAAAGAAATAAAGGCCAACACGAGGGATCGACTTCTCCTCGTCCCCCAATATCCCATGTCTTCATTAAGCATATATTCAAAAGGACTAGACAGCCAGCCCTCTGCTCCCAAGCTGTCCCTCCACCCCCACCCCCACAGGCTCAGCCCTTTCTCGTGGGCCTGCCTCTGTGGAACCAGCCCCTGACATGTGAGCGCGCGGCCGTGAGCGGCTGGCCACACGCCACCTCCCTCCTCGTCCTCTGTTTACTCAAGACTTTGCAGATGGCGCCACGAAGGGCTGGCGTGTGGTGTCTGATACAAAGGCCATCCTGTCTGCCGCTGCTGGGCAGGCAGCAGGCCCCCCAGACAGGCCAGTGACGGGAGGCTACTGCCCCAGAACAGGGCGGTGTGGGCACCAGAGGCGCGGACGTGCGCCGGTGTCCGAGTGGCTGTGGGGGCTGAGGACTGAAAGCAGAAATCTAAGACCCGGAGCTGCCCTCAGGGAGCTGTGAGCCTCGACCCCCAAACACATAGAGCGTCCCTATGACGGGCATGATTTAAAAAGCGAGCACAGCAGAGGCTGCTCCGACAGCAGCGTCACGGGGGGCGCGGGCACCCTCCTGAGAGAGAGACCGAGTGGCGGATGCGGTGGACAGAAGGGGAGGAGGCAAGTTTGGGTCTGTTCAGGCACACGCTTCACGCCGGCCGTGGGGCTCCTCTGCGTCTTACGGAGTTCTTGGCCTCTCGACGGATCCCCGAGGAGCGGAGAGTCAGAAGCTGCTGATTTTCATATGCAGGTGACCTACTTTGCTTCCCAGGCAGGGTGTAGACCTCAGCGACAGTTTACAACCAGCTCTGCTTCCTTCTCTGCAGCTTCCCAGCGGCTCAAGGCTGGGTGAAAGCACCCCGTGGAGCTTAGGCAAACACCGGCATTTAGGAACATGCCCTCAAACCTGAAGGTGAACCCAGCAGACACCAAGCCCGCCCACGTAGGGGACCCGCCGGGGGCACCTCCTCACACGTGTTGTAGCTGCCGTCCGGCAATCCAGGGCCTGGCTTCACAGAAAGCAGCTGCTGCCAGAGCTTCCATAGCGTGTAGCATCGGGCGTAAGAAGGGGACACAAGGACAGTGGCTGCTTCAGCCCCTGAGGGAGCGAGAACTTTCTGCAACCTGCAACTGTCCCAGAAACCATGGCGTGCTCAGGTGTTAAACTGAGACCATCCACGAGACCATCCATCTTGGGTGTTGGCACAACACGAAGCAGGGGCCTATCCACGCTGGTCGTCACGTCTTCAGTTCTCTGTCCCCGCCAGCACACCGCGGGAAGTGGACTGCCGACGGACGGAGCCTGTGGCTGGACCCATCTCTCCCTTGACCTGGAGAAGGGACCTTCTAAGGAAATCTGACTGTGATCACCTGTCTTCCAGCTGCCGCCGCCGCCCAGGCCTCAGGCTGGAATCCACAGCTCCGCCCTCTGACATCGTCCAGTGGCGAAGACGCCCTCTTCTCCCACCGAGCGAGGACGAAGATGAAAGTTTGCAGCCTGAACCGATTCAACAAAGGCTGCGAGCTGGGCTCCTCCCACCTCCCAGCAGACAAGCCAGAGCTACGTCCTGGTCTGAGTGATGCTCAGCTGTGGGGGTGCCGGGTGAGGAGTTACCCTGGTGCTGATGAGGCGGGTGTGGGCCCTTCTGATGGGACACCCCAGTTAAAACGACCATGTCCCCAACAGCTTAGTGCTTTTAAGGGGAGAGAGGGACTCTCAAGCTGACTCTCCTCACAAGGGGTGGAGCCCCAACTTTGCTAAAATCATATTCTTTTCATTGTTACTAGAGTTGGTGTTATTCTTTTTTAAAGATTTATTTATTTATGCATACAAGAGCTGGGTGCAGGCCAGAGGTGTGGGGGGTGAGAGGATTCACCAGAGACAGAGTGGGGAGCAGAACAGGCAGACTGACTGAAATCCACTGCTGAGGGGAGCAGCGGGGAGACAGGAGAGGTCTGCTGCACCATGTGGGTAGCTCCCTGGCCGTCTGGACATCGAACTTGAGCTGCAGTGGCTGGTGATAGCTTGATAGCGCTGTGTCTTTAGCCCCTGCACCACCAGGGGGGCCCCAGCTGGTGTTATTCTTCAGTCGTAGCTAAGATTCTCGCGTTTCACTTGTGGAAACCATTTGAAGTTTTCTTTTTTTGGCCCAATGTATTCAAAAAGCGTGCCAACGTCAATGAACAAATTTGAAAATGCAGTACATGGTACAAAGATCATGTGAAGTGGGGATGAGGGTGTGTCAAAAGTGCTGATTTAGGGAGCACTGAGTTTGGGGGAAGGGAGGCGAGGGTCACGGGTGGAGGGGGCGACCAGGCAGGAAGAAATACTCAGGGGGATAAATGATTCTACCTGGTTGGGTTCACAAATATGATAAAATTCATGGAAAGCAGAATTTTGAGGACGATAGATTTTTGGAGCTCACCGTCCAGCCCGTGCACACAGACGACCAGGTGGATCCCGTCTTCCAAGTTCTCCTCCTCCTCCTCTGGCGGGAAGTAGGGCACATCGGAAGCCAGCGCGGACAAGTCGCTGTACAGGAATCCATCGATCTTCAGCTCTTTTTTAAATTTTTCTTTGGCCTGGTAAAAACTGGAGAACCCGTGAACGCATCACAAGCTGAGCTGCGCACGCCGCGGGGCGCGGGAGGTGAGCTGAGCAGGGAGGGAGTGACGAAGAGCCACAGGGAGCACCCGCAGAGGCCAGGGTGGAGGGAGGCCTGGGGGAGCTGGCAGGATGGACGCTTGGTTCTGAGCAAGGAGGCAGGGAAATACCAGGGAAACCAAAGGCCATGACTGTTTGGGTTCGGCAGATTTCTGTGTGGCCCCTGCTGTAAAAGCAGACTTCTCAGATTCTATCCCGCTCCACAGAGCCATTCAACCTTTATGAAGATGTTCCTAGAGTGGAAATCTCTTCCCCTGACCTAGGCAGCCTGGCTAGGCCTCCACCTCTTCTCCAGCCTCAGCCCCAAGCCTCCTACAGGACACTTTCTCACAGTCCCTGCGGGAATTATGCTGCTGGCTTTACTTTTGTCTACGCTTTCAGGTCCGTCCATCAGAAATACCTCTCCCGCCTGGCTCATGTCCCTGGTCATCTGACAAGGTGGAGGCGAGGAACAGAGACCTGGGGTCCTGACTGCCAAGGTCAGACTCGCCCTAGCTGTGGGCCCTCCGCTGAGCCTCTGATGTGCGCTTTCTTCATTCGTAAATGAGGAATAACACCAGTGTCTGGTTTACAAGGTTGTTTTGTGTATTAAGTGATGTCATGTACACGAAATGCTTAGAAGAGCCCTTGATATAGATGAAATACTCAAAAAAGTTATCTATTATAGGATCATCACCACCATCATCGCCATCATCATCACCATCATCATCACCATCATCATCACCATCATCACCACCATCATCACCACCATCATCACCACCATCACCACCCTCATCACCACCATCATCACCACCATCACCACCACCATCACCACCATCATCACCATCCTCATCACCACCATCACCACCATCATCACCACCATCATCACCACCATCACCACCATCACCACCATCATCACCACCATCACCACCATCCTCATCACCATCCTCATCACCATCCTCATCACCATCATCATCACCACCATCATTAACATCATCATCACCACCATCATCACCATCATCATCACCATCCTCATCACCACCATCATCAACATCATCATCACTACCATCACCATCATCATCACCACCATCATCACCATCATCATCACCACCATCATCACCATCATCATCACCATCCTCATCACCACCATCATCATCACCATCATCACCACCATCATCACCATCATTACTGCCATCATCACACCATCATCACCACCACTATCATCAGCATCATCACCATCACCACCATCACCACCACTGTCATCATCACCACCACCATCATATCTCCTACATTGACCCCTCAGCTGAGCTGTCACTGCTAAAAAGCATCTACTGGCTACCCTCTCTATTCACCCTAACTGGCCACAGGTCCTTCTCCTCCTGGCTCATCAGTGACACAGGAACCTTCCCTCTATCCACTCCCTGTCCCCACTGGCTGCTTGCATCTCTCCGTCTCCCTGGGAGACCCTGAGGCCCACAATAGCCAGGACGACGCTGGTCAGGCACTGGACAGAGCCCCCCACGTATCTGTTAAATTGATGGCAAGCACGGGAATATTTGATATAAAACATGGGCTCCAAAATCAACCCCCAAATTTCCTTTTGGGGTATCCCTTATATGAAACTCTGAAGCATTTGGCAAAGGCGGGGCATGCTGATTAAACAACTCCACACTATACTCACACATCGCCTACAGGCTAGAGCTACATGAGCACAACGCCCACGGGGACGGACTCTGGCTTTGCAACATGAGAATAAACACAAGAACCACAGGGGTTAGAGGCAAATCCGATGAGGCTCTCCCGTTGCCCCAAAACTCGTAAAGAGCTGCACTGTAACAGTGATGTGTGCACCAGGGGGGTCAGCATAATAAACAGGGGGCAGGTGAGAGTCCATCGCTAAAGGAACTGGCTAATTGACCATGGACTACCTGGACAGTGGAATTCTGCTGAAATAGTAAGATCATAATATAGACATAGACTCATAAATAGATGTTTCCAACATGTCAAGTTAGGGGACAAAAAAGTTCAGACAGAGCGATACTATTTTTGCACCAGAGCGCACACAGGCATAAATGCATGCAGCAAAACGGTGCAGGGGCTTGAGCAGCGGCTGCGCTGGGGAGACAACTTATTTATCATTTACTGGTTTTGTGCCAGTCTCCATGTCTGATGTGCACGATACGAATATATTATATTAGTGAAATCAGAATTTGCTGGCACCTCGACTCTGAAATAATACACATGAACTTGGGGAGCCGGTGGAAGCATCGACGCCGCTGGGCCCGGCAAGCTCACCTGAACATCCTCTCGCTGACCTCCTCCCCCAGCTCGCTGGAGTGGGGAGAAACAGCTCCGAAGGAGCCCACAGGCTGGTGCGTGATGGGGGACTGGGTCTGCCTGGCAGAGAACCCCGCCCGGGCAGGGGTCTCCTTGGGCACAGACGAGAAGGGGAGACATGTGGCCGTGCAGGACACAGACAGGTTGACGACCTCCACCGCCTGCAGGCTGTCCAGGGCAAAGGTCTCTGCAGGGGCCAGGGTGGGCACCGTGCCGGAAGTGCACGCCCTTGGCTCTTGGCTGCCCACAAGCTGGGGGGGCCGAGGGGGACTCGCAGCGGAGCACACGGTGCCTGCTTCATGTCCAGCCTCCAGGAAGCCGTTGGCTCCTGGACTAAAGGCTGCAGCATCCAAGGTGCCAGGTGAGTCGCTGGGTTCGCCCACTGACTCCAGGTCGGTGGCAGCAGCAGGGGACCCACAGCCCCAATCAGGCACGCGGAGGTGGCCGGGGTGCTCCATCTCCAAGACGCTGCTACGGGAAAGAGACCCTGGACCCACATTTAAGACACTGGCCATGCCCCTCGGGGTCTCCATTAGAGTCCCTGGAATAGCTCCATCGCCAGGCTTTTCTGCTGCTCTGATGCATGGTGTTTTTGTGTTAAGACCCTGGGTCTCCACATCCTGAGGGGTTCCCGTCCTGCCATCAAGATGACAGAGTCCTGGAGGCTCAAACGGTCTTTCTGAACTTTGGGGGGTGTCTATGTAACTGGGGCCCTGCTGGCTGATGACATCTAAAGCCACCTCCACAAAGGGACTGTCCAGCCCGCCACAAGGCTGAGAGTAGCGTCCGGGGATGCCCGTGCCTGCAACGGGCATGGCAGGGGCTTTGACCTGGGCACCACCCGGCCGCCTGGCATCCGAGTCTTCAGCAGGCTCCTCCGGGCTGCTGATTTGGGGCGCGGAGACCGACTTGGTCAGCTTGGTGAGAGCCAGCTCACGCCGCTCCTCCTCCTCGAAAGGCAAAGAGCTGATGGAGGTGAGCGAGGCCTGGATGCCGCTGGGCAGGCTGGTGTTGCTCTCCGTGCGGCCGCCCTCCAGGGAGTCCCTGTGCAGGGCGTGCCTCCGGGCCAGCTGGTACAAGGCCTCCCGGTCACTGGGCAGGTCCAGGGCCCTGCTGCGGGCCTCGGACCAGGCGACCGAGCTCTGCTCGCTCTCGATGCCGGAGTCAGAGATGACAGAGGAGGATCTCTTGATGACCCCTGAGAGCACCGACGCTTCCTCCTGCTCCTCCAGGCGCAGGTCCTTGGGGGACGCCCTCATGTCCATGGGGTCCCGCGCAATAAAGTCCGGTGGATCACAGGACTCAGAGGGGGCGAGCTTCAGACTGAGGGGCGCCGTCCACCCCCCCTGGTCGGCCCTGCAGCCCGCAGACCCAGGGCCTGCCGCTTTCTCTGCGGAGAGGGCATCTTGGTGCGCCCCGCCAGCCCGCCCGTGGCCTGGTGTGGCGGGGTCTGGTTCACGGTCCCCCACAAAGTGCCATCCCTCGTGCTGGGCACTGCTCACCCCGGTGGGTGTGGCCCTGCAGCAGCTCTCTCCACTGGGTTTCACCTCCAGGTAGCTCAGTGCTGGGGCTGGGTCGTCCTCGGGGCCCGGGCTCTCTCTGGGGAGGTCCACGTCGGCCAGGGGCCCCACTCCAGAGCCAGGGGGCTGGCCAGCCCCAGACTCATCTTCAGGGAAATCCGCTTTGTCCTGGAATTCCCCAATTGTCAGATACACCTGCGACTCGGAGCACAGGTCGGCAGGATGCGACGCGGACACCGTCTCCTCCGGCTCAGGACACCCGGTCACCTCCTCATCTCCGTCCAGCTGGGGAGGCTTCGTGGGGGGCGAGGCAGGGTCTTCCCTGAAAGATGATTTTCTGTTTATAAGACGGTTGTCTTCTTTGTCTCTGAGGTCCACGGTTGCAGGAACTGTGGCTGTGTCATCAAAACTAGGGTAGACATCCAGAGGACGCCCTAAGAAAGAAAAGAGAAAGTCACAGGACAGCTTAGGAGCCACAAAGGGCCCAAACACCTGACTGCGGAATAAAGCATTCAGGCTGCCTGTGCTCCTGGCTCCAGGGAGAGGACCCCTAGATTCTTAGGATCACCCACAGAATGGGCGGGTCTTGTCACTCACGCTGGCCTCCCCTGGCTTATGCTAGACAGGTGACCTGGTGAATCCTTAGTTCTGCTAAAGAGATGAGGATGGGGGGCGCTAGTTACCCCAAAAGACCACCCATGTGATTAGTTGGTTGGAACTTTGAGGATAAGAACTGTGACCTCTGTGGGAAGGTGAATCCTTAGAACCTAAATGACAGATTTATCCGATTTATCATAGGCAGTTAAGACAAGATCGGGAGCCCAGAGAACAAACGGATTGTCAGAACAGCAACATTTCAGCTTTACTACAATGACTCTGGAAAAACAGGAGTCCCAGAGAATCCCATTCGTCACACACTAAGGGGAGGGGGGCAGCTGCACTCACGGCCCCTCCGTCGTCACCCCTACGTGTCCTATCCTGAGCCCCAGACTGCTCACAGCGCAGCTGCCAAGAGAACCACGACCCCCCCACCCCCTGCATCTCACAGTGGACAAAAATTCACATCCAGACAGCGTGTCCAGCAGTTAGGGACTTAACCATCTCGGGACGAAGAAAAGGTCTCACAATATGGACAGAAATTTGGAGGCTTTGGCACCTAGTAGGTGTGCTGGCCTCAGGCTGTCGCTGGCCCTGAACAACGGCCTCCCTTGCATATGGAAGCAGAGCTCTCCAGGCTTGCTTTCTCATTGCACTAGAATCATGAGATGCGAATCTGACGGCCTTGTTGCAAGTTAAAAATGAAGGCACCGAGTCTTTGAGAAAGAGGAACATGTTCTTGCAGAGCAAAGGCCAAGCAAGGCTCTGGGTCACAGAGTCCCGTTGAGAGGGGACACAGCTAAGTCTGCAACATTGGTCTTGAGGTGGGGCCGGACCAGGGGAGAGCACCCCGGGGAGGCCGGGAGCCAGCCAGGCCTCTGAGAATGACAGCCTCGGGGCCACCCAGGAAGATGGGAGCACAAGATCTGGGGTCCCAGCCTCCACCAAGTGCACCATGTGAGTGGGAGCTGCAAAGACACTCGGTCCTGCTCTGTCCATTAGAGGAGCCTGCGCGGGCAGGGGCACCAACCATGCTCCTTGTCCTCACTGGAGGGCGCAGGAGTGGAGGAGGGACAAGGGTTGGCGGGAAGCCCCATGAGCACAGAGGTGTCTTTCCTGCTCATGCCACAGGGAGGGCTCAGTGGCTCATAAAAATAACATAATTGCAGGCATGAGTTGGGAGACTGAGCTTTCCCTCACTAGACTGAACAGGCATAGCCCGTGGAAGGCAAGGCGGTGTGCTCTGAGAGCGTCTGACTAGAGTTAAGACGTCAGTACATTTGCACACACACAGTCTCAGCGCGATGCTTCCAGCGGGTTCTCCCAGCCCTGGAGTCTCCCACATCCTGGTCCCTGGCACACGGCTCGGTGTCACACACAGCGTCGCCACCAGAGGGCAGGCGGCCACCGAGAACCAAGCAGCGCGGCAAGGTTGCGCTGTCCTTGGCGGCACCTGGACTTTGAAAACACCCCACAGATCTCACCTACGCTTTCAACTGTGCAGGTTGCAAAAACCCCGAGATTTAAATGACATCATTTTAGCGATGGGGACCACACACAATGGTCGCAAACACCTCGCAACGGGCCGCCGAGCAGAACAGGGCACAGGAGTGCAAGTGAATTGGCTTTGAATGTTGACTTTTATGATCTTTAATAAATACTGATGTTCCTTGTGCCTCAGTTTCTCGGTGAAATAGGGCTTGTGAGGTTGCTTAGAGGATTAAAGAGACAAGGCACATAAACCAACCAGTCCCAGGCTTGATGCTTCTGGCCATTCGGGATCCTGGGCCATTCCAGCTCTGCCTTTAGGACAGCTTGTGGGGTGCCAGCGGGGCTGGAGAGAGGGGGTGGGCACTCTCCTGCTCAGCTCCTGAGCACTGGTCACCCCAGCACAAGGGTCACAGCCCAGATAAGCACCCACAAACCAACACGCACGTGCCACCCTTCTCCCTGAAACGAGTCACACACTAATCTGTTTATGCGCCCACTTTCTGGAACACTTTGGCTTGGGGCAAGGACTCAGGTTCAAGTAGAAAAGACTGTGCAGATGCATGTTTGAGATAAGAACGATCTCCACTGGCTCTCAAGGCTGATGAGGGGAGTGTGGTGCCCACTGGACAGGTGAATCCCCAGTGGCACCGGACACTGTCCGGCAGCGGTCAGGGCCAAAGGCTGCACGGCAGCTGCCCTTCTGTTACGCTGCTCTGCAGCTTTCCCGAAATAAAGTCATTTCAGTAAGGAATGACTTTAAGTAAACTTAGCTCTTGCTGCTCTGTGATTGGACAAAATACTTCTTTCAGCAGCCCTGCCGGGGTGAAAGAGGGCGCCAGACCGGCTCCTGAGCACAAGGACACACCTGTCTTGGGGCAGTCCACGTATCTGTCCTCGAAGATCACGGGCAGGGTGCTCCAGTCGCCGTCGATGTCCAGGCACTCGGCGGGCAGCGGGGGCATGCTGGCCAGGTACTCCGAGCTCCGGACATCCAGGGACAGCTGGCTGTGCGACTGCACCCTGGGGACACGGGGACAGGGGAGCAGCGTGGGAGCGGAGTCAGAGCCAGACCCTGCCAGGGAGCCCTGGGCTGGGCACGCTCCTGACCTAGGTCAGTGCCGCATCGACCCGGACGCCAGAGCCCAGCCTGGCATCTACCAGCACTTTTTAGAGGTTGTAAGTTTCCACGTTTTATTTTATTTATTCTGGTGCATTTTTTTAGGGTAATGGCTGGACACTGTGTAAAGGAACCACATCAAGGAGGCCAGGAGTGTGGGCACTGGATGCCAACACAGCCACGCTGTGTCACTTCTCCTGTGTGATCCAAGAGAAGTCGCTTAACATCTCTAAGCCCAGTTTCCCCAGTTTCTTCCTCTGCAAATGGGGGCCATTAACAGTCCCGATCTCCAAGGGACGAGGCGGATAGGAGCGAGCCAGGGAAGCCCTCAGCACAGCTTCTTACCAGGGACCTCAACAGACTTAGCTCCAGGCAGGCAGGCGGCCCCGGCTACACAGCAGGATGCACCCACCGCCCCGGCTCTTCCAACCCAAGTGCAGAGCTAACAGCTGCTGGAGGCGAGCCGGAGGAGCCAGCCAGGGTGTGGGGCAGAACCGAGCCCTGCCCGGGAGCGTGGACCAGGGGCCTGCCCGGGAGCGCTGGCCAGGAGCACAGAACAGAAGCTCTGACCATGAGGCCTGACTGTGAGCCCTGCCCAGGAGCCCTGCCCAGGAAACCCCAAACACCGCCTTCCAGAGCGAGTTCCGGCTCTGCTTTCCCGAGCAGCTGCTGATGTGGACGAGGGCCTGACCACGGTCCTTCTCATCATTTTCTACGCCGCCCCCTGCACTGGCTGTCCTCTACCTGTCACTGCCTGCAGCGAGGTCATCGTTTCTTGCCTCTTCCCCAGAATGAGTGGCCCCTGGGGACCGTGTCTCTACTCCATCCCCGCTGCTGGGGCCACGCAGCCAACGGGCCCCAGACTCAGCGTCCGCCCTGAACTCTCGAGCAGAGTCCGCGGCTCTCCCGGAGCCCAGCGCACGGGCAGCGCCGACGTTCTCATTTGGCCTCACGAGCAGGATCCTGCCCGCGTGAAGCCAGTGCAGACTAAGGAATGTTAAAAAGAATAAAAACAGGAGCAGAAAAACAGCTTCCTCAGGGGCCCACTGCCAGCAGCTGGGGGGCCGGGGTCCTGAGCCAGCGGGACGTCACCGCTCCCGGCCTTGCCCTTGTGGCTGACGTGACGACGCAGCTCCAGCGTCTGCACCTGGGGGGGGGGGTGTCTCCCTGCCACACGACCTTGACCCGGAGGCCGAGGGTCCTCGCTGGCTCAGGCAGCGGACGTCCCGACGCAGCATCTGGCCGCGAGGCGCTCACGTTAGGTCTAAATTTGTCTGACAAGCGCTTCTGAGGTTCGTTTTAGAAACTGTATCAGTTATTTTTAGCTGGAGACTAGAAGAAGGAGCGAGCGAGTGAAAGACTCGACATTTCTGGACAAGCTCGCTTCGCACACAGATGTTACCCTGGCGCCCCTCGCCGGCGGGCCCACGAGGAAAGCGGCAAACGTCACGGGACTTTGCAAACAGCACGGAGTGTGGAGAGGGCGGTGGGGACAGCCCCTGGCCTGTCGCGGGACGGGGGCGCTCAGGGGTTTCCTGGAGACATCCGGGGGTCTCCTCAGATGTTATTGCGTCACCTTCATTCTATGCGGGAGGCATGGTCTTTGGGAAATCTCTGACTTTTTGAGGATGTTTGGATTTTTCCAGGAGGAAGGGAGGACGGGAAGCCACCAGCCCTCCTGCGGCTTTAATTCTTATGCAGAACGCGTGTCAGCGCTCCTGCAAAGACTCAGGGGGATTCTGGGTTTTTTTTTGGGGTAGCTGGTGGCCAAAACACCTGCTTCTCCTCCATTCATCAAAGAGCTCCGCAGAGATGTCTGCAGGGGTCAGGGGAGTTGGGTCTGTCCATGGCGCCTTAATACACCCAGCCCAAAGGAGCTCGGCTGGTGACGCGCTGGGCACCTGCTAGCGAACCCCTCCACCCCTTGTCTGCCTCCTGCCTGCAGAGACAGTGCAGAGGTGGGGAGACCTCTCTTCTCTGCGGTCGCGGTAGGAGACGAAAGTAGACTCTGGACAAGGTTTGGGGTGGGACTTTGAGGGTGGGGTGTGGCCTGCGATGAAGTACTTACAGATGCTCCTGAAAGGTCAGGACGGCCAGTTTTTGGTGCTCCATGTAGAAAAAGGCTTCAGAAAACCTTCGGACCTGAGGATAGAATAACGTCAACAGCTTAATGTGCCGGCACTAGTGCCTCGTTTCCTTTAAAAGGAATTTGATCCCTCTGCCTCCCCGCACCCTGCATGAACAATGAGGTACTACATATATAACTATATATATATGCTGGTGGAGAGCGGCGTCCACTGCCCAGAGGCCGGCGAACACTCACCTGTCCACGCTCCCAGGCTGCCCCTCTCCCTTACAGCCTTTCGCCTGAACCTGCTTTGTGGCCATCGCCGCATGAATCTGCCCTTGCTTTGTTCAAATCATTTTTAGAGTGAGGCCTTATCACTTCTGCTCGAACACAAGACCCTGGAGAGCAGGGCCCAGGAACGCATGTAGATGACGCGCAACCGGCAGAAGCAGGCGTGTCCCCTGCGCACCGTGGGGTCAGGTGTGGCCCTCTGGCCACAAGGGAGAAGACCGCCGTTTCTGTTAGCAGCGCCGACCCGCCTACGCCCGAAGACACCAAGAGCCATGACTGCCTTTTGAAAACACTTCCCCAAAACGCTAGCCAAGCCGTGTGACCTCCCTGAGACACGCTCTGCTGGCACCCGAGGCCGGGCCGCTGGCTCTGGAAGGAGAGCGCCGGAGCGGGAGGCCAAGTCCCCCAAACTCACCACAAGTCCACGGGGAGTCAAGGCAGGCCAAGCTCCCATCGTGCCAGGGAACTCCCAGAGGGGTCACGGGTGAGGCGCCGAGCACATACCCTCAGGCTGTGGTGCTCCTGGGTGAGGTACGAGGTCACGTGGGAATGCAGAGTCACCGTGTCCAGGAACTGGGTCCACAGAGCCATCAGGTGGGAGGTGAGCCAGGCCAGGTCCTTGCTTATCTGCTCCGCTATCTTCTCCGGGCTGCTCAGCATCTGGAGAGTCAAAGGCGGCAGTGAGAGAGATCGACGCCCCAGCCCGGCGGCGCTGGTGAGGCTGCACTGACTCCTCCGAAAGCGACGCGTCTCCCTCCCCGGCCTGCTTTATATCCGTCGTATCCCGAGCTCGGGACGCGGCACCGCTAGCGCTTGGCACCTCAGCGCCGGCTCCTTGCAGGCCGAGCCCCAGGCACCTCCTGCACGCGTCCCCTCAGCCCTGCAGGTGCCCTCTGCAGCCGGTGCTGACGGAGGAAGACAAGGAGAGCCGGAGGGACAGCCTGGCCTGCCGTCCCTCGCGGGTCCACCGGCCGGTGTCTGAGCACGAGGCACAGCCCCGGCTGCCGTCACGCAGCAGGTGCTGGGGAAACATCTCCTGAGAAGCAGTCAAGTCAGGACAACCTCACGCTCCTCCCCAGCTGGGTGATTCCCACAAGGTAGAGCTTAAAGCTCCACCCCCCCTCCCTCATGCACCCCATATTTCTAAAGGAGCACCCCAGGTTGCCATAACTATAACATGAAGATGCCAGTCTAGCGAGCATGTGGCCAGGTGGGAGCTTCGGGGAGCTTCGGCTTAGCATCGGGGAGTCGAGAGAGAGTAATTCTGCAGCGGGGAGGGGAGGTCAGGCTCCTGGAGGGGGCAGGGAGCAGCTGTCGAGCCCCAATGTTGACCTCCAGGTGCCACTGACTCAGCGCACGTTCCATGAGCCTCTCCCTGTGCCCGGCACACGTTTAGGTTAATGGGGCTGCCGGGGTGGCTAGTGGGGCGTCTCTGCCTGGAGGAGCCTCGGCCAGTGGAGGGGACAGGAAGATGGGTTCTTAGTCAGTGTGGTAGCCCCCTGCCAGGAAGGAGGTGGCAGCGGGAAGTCTGCAGCCAGCACTGCAGCCCCATCTCTGCGCCTCTTCTTTGCCCTGTACCTCGGTTTCTTCAACTGTGAAATGAGGATGCAAACAAATAACCACTTAGGGAATATGACACCCGATGAGGAGCCGAGCTCAATGTCTTGCCTTAAACCCTGGAAGTTGGACCAAAGGCTGATGCCAGATGGCAGACATGGGGAGTTAAAAAAGAGGGAGCAGGGGAGCAGGAACCCAGCACCCAGGGGTGCTTGTTAATCACTGGGTACCGGTGCTTTGTAACTGATGAGCGGCGGCCGGGAACAGGGCACCACTCGCCATACCATCTCCGAGCCACTTTTTCTGAGAGAAAAGATCAGCCTCTGATGAGGCCCCCGCTGCAAAGCCCCGAGCGGACAGAAGGCCCCTCCTTCTCCTCCCAGGGAAGCTTCTTCCCAGCACTGACTCCGGGGAGGCGGGGGTCAGACAGGAGCTGCCCACTCTGACCGTGTCCGAGAGGTTTACGAAAAGCACGATCAGACTGAGCTGGGGGCAGAGTGGGTGTGGTCAGCCAGGGGAACCCCTCCGGGCTGGAGGGGGTGGCTCTGGGGTGCGCTGGGAGCCAGTGGTCTGGAGACTTTCCACCCAGTCATCCTACTAACAAGCGCCAGACTCCTGCGCCATTTTGCCCCTGCCGAGGCCTCCCGCCGCCCCTGGCCGGGGCACAGGCATTGTCACAGTCTCTCTCCCTGCTGCAGCAACTCAGCCCCCAGAGGTCCCCACGCCCCAGCTCCTCGGACCAGCGATACATTCTCCAAGGGAAGTCTCTGCACATCCCCAGGCTCCGCTCATCCTCGAGGCCCTTCCTTCCTCTCTTCAGCATGTTGGACAGGACTGTTCACCAGGTAATGGTTTCTGTCCGTTTCCGAAGATTCTTTGGAAACTTCTACTATGTGTCCTGTGTGAGACTAACAAGTCCCCTCCCTGTCCTGGAAGCCCACCTGACCTTGCAGGTCTGCGCTGCCCCCAGGGCTGACTCCCTACAGAGCCTCTTCTGTGTGTATTTTGGGCCTGAGCCCCCTGGGCACTCCCAGCCGGGAGCTGGATCACGGCTCAGTAACTCGCTATCAGCACGCCAGTGGCTTGGCAGCCAGGAGGCTGGCGGTATGGGCACCCGGCCTCAGTAGCTGCACTTCTCTCCTGGGCCTCTTATCCACCCCCACAGCGTCCCCCCCACTGCACACGCTACATGAATTCTGAGCTCAGCCACTAATGACAAAGAGAAAAAGGAAAGCTCTTCATTAAATGTGTCTTTGGGTGAATTATTTTTTCCTGGTAGTTGATTACAGAAATGGCTGCAGATAAGGTTAAGCAAGCTTCTAATGAAGCCACAAGAGGACGTTTCTAGTCTCAGGATGCTAGGCCTGGCTAGAAATGGATGATGGGTGTGAAGAGGCTTCTCAGCCAGACTGAGAAGAGGCCCTTCGCGCAGACAGGGAGGGTTTGGGCCAGTGCCACTGCAGGTGGAGAGACCTGACAGCCCCAGGCTGCGCTCCCAGGCTGCTCTCCTGGGCCCTGGGCTTGCTCCTTGTTCCTCCCCGCTCCCTGTGCCCTTGCTGCGCTGTTGGCTTGTTTCACTTCCATCACGCCTTCCCCAGCCTCCTCTGTGTCTCAGATGGCAAGAGTTCCTGAGGCTGAATGACACCCCACTGTGTGAGTGTGTATGACAGCGGTGGTGGTGATGGTGGTGGTGATGGTGTAGACAGTGGTGCTCATCACCATTACTTGCTTTCATTTATTCACCCACTGGTATCAGGCTGTCTCCATGCCTTCACTATGGTAAACAACGATGCAATGACCATAGGGGGTGGTAATAACTACCCTAAAAGGCATGAGGTGCGACCCCATTGTGATTGTGATTCATCTGGGGAGTCCTTAGAAAAGACAAACGCCTGGGCGCCACTCCCAGATGTTCTGTGTCAACCACTTGGGTGGGGCCAACGGTGCACCTTGCAGGCCCAGCGTGATTCCCTGCAGCCAGGGCTGCGAAGCACCGGCCTGGAGGCTGCCACCGGAGTCCTGCTTCCGCAGTGAGTAGTGGGGCCGCCCTCCCTCGGTGAACGCGGCCCCTCCATCCTGACTTGTGTCTGTGGTGTGAGGAAACAGCGCCCACCCAGACCGCCCGATGCGCTGAAATGGGAAAGTGTTCCAGATCGTGCATAACAACAGCACACATCTGACAAGTTGTTCCGCACACATTCTTCACACATGGCTGACAGATTTTTGGCAAACACACATTACTATTGTCATCATGTATACCATCACCATCACACCATCATCATCATCACCGTCATCATCATCACCATCATCACCACCATCAAAGCCACCTCGGCTTTTTGTGAGGCCGTCGGAGCACAGGGCAAGGCCTCTATCAGCCTCCACGAGAAGTGTGTTATCAGTGGTCAGCCAGTGCTCGTTAAACAGGTGGAAACTGAACCAAAATAGACACAGCTAGTGTGAGCTGCAGGGAAACCAAGTCCCGTTGGCCTGTTTTGGTTCCAAAACATCTAGCACAGAACAAGGCACACACTGGGGGTCTCACATGCCTAGTGACATCAGGCCATGGATGTAAGTGCCTCCTCACGTTAAGACCTAGAGAGAAGCAACAGGCCTGATTTCTGGAAGAATTCTGTTTACCCGGGTCACCACTGCCACTGAGGCCCCAGGAGTCGGATTCTTACCTGTAGCTCTGAGCACAGCTGAGAGAGTGTTTCTTCAATGGCCAGGGACTCTAGGAAGAAAACAACCACACACAATGAGTGGACACACACTGGCGTGCGGCGGTCGCTGAGTGAGTGGGCAGCTGGGCTTTGAGTCGGTGCTGAGGCACCCACGTCCTGCGGACACTCTTCTAATCCCGTGCCCGTGGGGGCCGTGTGCACGGACGACCCTGGTGGGTGCGTGGGACCTCACCCAGGGAAGGACCAGACTGTCACAGATGCAGCCACCCTGCTGACTCCTCAGCCAGGCCGGCAGGGGCTGTGCAGGGAGACGCGGCCCCACCCCAGCCCTCACCCGGCTCGACGTGGGGCAGCTCCGGGACGTCCCTGGCGATGCCCAGGAAATAGGCGCGCAGGCCCCGGTGGGCGTGCAGGAGCAGGCCGCACAGCTCCCGGTGCCAGCTGTGGGCGCGCCGCATGCAGTCCTCCGAGGGCACATAGAAGCTCCCCTGCAGGAAGGGCGGAGACAAGGCTGAGGCCGGGCCCGGGGCCACCCGGCCGGGCTGCGGGAGAGTCTCCTCCCTCTCTCTGGGTGGGAAAAACATCAAAATCTATCAAATCTATGTATCTTATAATAATAATACAACCATAAGTAGGTAATGATATTATTCCATGTTAATAATATAATTATATAATAATGAAAACATAACAACGATGACAATAGCAGCTGCGGACGACCCTGAGGACGAGGCTGATGATGCCTGTGCCGAGATGACAAGGATGACGATGGTGATGATGGTGGCGCTGAGGGCAACGCTGACCTCACAGCTCTGTGACAACCGGGCAGCACTCTCAGGCCCCTCCCCTGTGCCCACAGGCCCTAAGGACAGGCAGGCTCCTTCCCACGGAGGTCGGGGACTTAGGAAGACCCGCCTAGATGCTGGAAAGGGGGTGGCGGCGTCAGGGAACGGGAAGGAGCCGCGCGGTGAGCGATGCCCGCCGGGAGCCTGAGCTGCAGGCGCGGCGCCAGCGCGGGGTTCAACGCTCCGCACGCCGCGCTCTGCTCGCAGCTGAACCGCCTTCATCTGCTAGAACAACACGGACATGATGGGGGGAGATGGCAGAGTGCTCAGTTTTCTTGGCCTTCCAGCCATGGTGAAAATGAAGCAGTGGGGTGGTTCTGACTTGGCCACTCCAGAGAGAAAGCGTGGACTTCAGAAGGAATCCCACAGGCAGGACCTGGCAGCAGGAAAGGGTGTCCTGGCCCGTGCACGGAGAATCCCGGGGACACAGGACCCGCATGACCGTCGGCTGCTTATGCGGCCACAAGGGTAGGGCAGGTGGCCTTCACCAGCCCTGCTGCCTGGCCGGTCCCGCCGGGACACTCGTGGGACATCGGAAGTAGCCGCCCCCCCGGGTTGTGAGCTGACTTGAGTAGTCGGGGACGTGGCAGCTCCCCGGCCCGGGCGCCCTCTCCCCATGGTGCACGGACACCGGGCGGGTCCAACAGGATTGACGACCCTCATATTGATCTGCGTCCGCAGGGGCGCCGGAGGGTGGACGGCAATGGCGTGAGTGCAGCACTGGTCACTCAGCCCAGATGTGGGGTCCTGCGGCCTCTGAGGGGCTGCACTCGGCCGGACCGGGGGGAGCTCAGGTTCGTGGTCCTCTAGCTTGGAGGTGGTTTTTGGTCAGTTCCCCAGGAAAGACATGACTGGACAGGCGCGTGCTGCAAGGGCGGGGGGTGGTCCTGGTTCTTGGGTCTTAGGTAACAGGAGCGTAGGACGGGCAGAGGGGGAGCCGCCTGCCCAGCAGGCACCACCACGGAGGCCTCAGTGACCCTGTGGTTGGAGTCGGGACTATTTCATAAGCAGAAAATTCAACCAAAACATCCGTTTTCACCAGGTGCTCAAGGAAACCCATGTGTTCCCACGTCTCAACGTCCTACTCTGTCCCTATTGTGCAGCTGGTCGCAGCTGGATGAAGGTCTCACAGTCACACAAAGATGAAGGGAGCTTGTTCATCGCAGGCTGTTGGACTCCCCAGGTCTACAGAGCAAAAGGCAACCAGCTCGCAAAACACCTAGAGGTCGCCATTATGGCTTGCTCCACTGCATCTTCAAGAAATGCCATTTAAGGCAGACACTCTCATTGTGATTTTTAAAATGGTGACAAGATATGGTTATATATACACCCAAGGAAGCACAACATAAAATGCTCCCTTTCCCAGAGTCTAATAATTTCTTGTTGATCCTTCCAGAATACTCCCACATGGGGGTGTGCACGCTGGTGCACTTTGCACTGTTATCTCTGTCCCCACAGACACACACACACTCACCCACACACCCCCACACACACACTCACAAGTTGCAAGAAACTCTGGACATTTCTCTTCCTTGCTTTTATCACTTCTCATGCCCCAAATCCATTCTGATCAGCCCATATAATAAGTGACAGGAAATCCAGTTCCCAACTCATAGACCTAAATGCCGTGACAGGATTCCCTAAGTTAGTCAGTGCTTTGCCTGAAGCAGAAATGACTCTCACAGTTCAGGAGCTAGCTGGAGGCAGGCCTTTCTCAGAAGAGTGTCCCCTGCGTGGGGAGCCGTGCCTGCAGGGGACAGTGGCTCCAGCAGTCTGCTGGCTTTGATGGAGGCATTAATTTCTTTCCTGCAGGGCCTCCGTCTCTGTGACTGAGCAGAAAGAAAGCAGCCGGGCATAAACAAGGCGTCGGCCTACTGTCAGTCCCGGCTCGTCTGCTCCGAGCAGCCCCACATCCCTCCCGTTCTAGTCCTGAGATCTGCTCACGGCTTCACCTTCTTGTCACTGGTGCCTCCCTTGGAAAGTGCGCCTGGACCCGGAGGGCAAAGCCCCTCTGAAGGCCGTCGCGACACTTGCTTTTTAAAACTAGGCTCATGTTGAACAAGAGTCAGTTCTCAGTCACGCGGGACACATAGAAACGTGGGACACGTGTGTCTACCGGGAAGCCGGGAAGGCATGTGTGAGGCTCTCCTCTAACCCAGCTTCTCACCGCTCGCTGCCCCTGGTCCTCAAATCACGGGGCAGTTTAAGTCATGATGTGAATTTGTAAAAGTGGAATGGGCTAGAAAGTTTACATAGATGATCCCCATTTCCAGGATTACTAAGAGACGACTCCAGAATTCCAAAAAAGCACAGCCTTGCTCCTGGCTCCCACAGGCTCCGTTCCGATTCCACCAGAATCGAAGGCTTCTCAACTGGGGGCAAGACAGTGAGGACAGGGACAGTGGCAATAGCAGGATGACGGTGGCTCAGTCATCAGATCTGTGGGTTAATTATGCCGAGCGTGGAAGGTCAAGCAGTTACCGCTCTCCCTCCATCCCCAAGAGCCTGGTTCCAAGATCATAAACTCAGAACTGTCTGAAGAAAACGAGCTGTCAGTGGCCTGCCTCAAGGCATCGTGACCACGGTCACTGCTTCTATTTCGGAAGCTGGAGAGGTTCCCAATGGTGTCTTCTAGGCCATTGTGACTTGAATTATGAAAGGTATTACATTCCTTCAACTGACACTGGGTCAGGCAGAGTGTCAGTGCCTATAATTACTCTCCTACATGAGTTCCCGAGTCTCATGTGAGAATTTGCTCCTGTCTCTCTCCCCGGAACTCTGGGTGGACTTGCTCTCTGGTCTATTCCGTCGGGAGCCGGGAAGTAGGCCAGTGAAAAGCAGCGCTGGAAACAGACTGCACATCCTGAAAGCAAACAGGTGAACTCCCACAGGCTCCTTGTAAACCTCCTTATCTGAGACTCACAGAGCACCTAAGTCAAGCCAAGTGCCAGGGAGACCCTGGAGTGAGTGTCTCGAAGTCGACCTCCAGTGCGGGGTAAGGTACAACTTGAATGAGGGGTGCCTGATCCCAGGGCCCACACCCTAACCACTGCCAGCCCCTGTGCCCCCAGAAAAGATGCTCAGTGAATGTGGGCTTTCTCTGGGCCCTGAAAGACAACAGATCAGATCGATTCTAGAGATTGCCAAGGTAAACGGGAGCCACTCCGTTGGCATGGTCACATCAGAAGGCCGATTTCCCTAAACAACCACCCAGGGGACCTGAGCAACCGTAGGCATGAGAATAAGAGTATTTAGGTAACAAATCATCGTTTACTTAGAGTTTTGAAATCAACTCAGCAAGGTATGTGTCCTTATTAGCTTCATTTTGTGGATGAAAAGACAGACATAGTCTCAGGAAGAGAATTTCCTACAAAATAGTTATCGAAGTTAATAGAAAAATACCATGAACACATTTTGTAAAATTTGGGTCCTGTTGATCATGTCACCACCTCCAAGGTTGCAGTTTCAGTAGCTACATTGGCCTCTGAGCTCGCGATCAGCTCGTGTTGTTAAAACACGCGGGCACTTATATGTAAGTGCAATGCAAAGACGCATTTATGTTGCAAAGCACCATTTCCTCATCGAGGCTGGGTACCTGATTTGCTTTGAACACTGGTCTGGCCAGTGCTCTGCTGGGCACGAAGAGCCCCTTGTACGTGGTGTATGACCCAGCGTGCGTCCGTGACTATCCGTTGCCTTGCCTATAAAATAGGAACGAGAAGGAGCAACAAGATGGGTCACGGCAGCCAGGTACTTCGAAGAGGCTCTGGCAAAGCCTGAGCTTATGGCAAGAGCAGACTTGCACTATGGGAGCAGAGCAGAGGTATGTGTAAGCCAGTTGGCAGGGTGGGAGGAGGGATGAGCAAGTTCTAAAGTGCAAAGAGAGGACAGGTTGGAGCAGCCGGCAGGTAGAGTGATGCCGCTGGGCACCCACTGGCAGCCACACTCTACCGACACCATGCCTTCCCTCCGAGCGGGAGTGATCTAGAACAGAAAGAAGAAGGGGGGCAGAACCCCATTCCCCTGCATTTGTCCAAAATCAGGTCAGCCCTTTGTTTCTCAGTATTGTAGCTGGAGCCTCCCAAGCCCAGGTTCCAGGACAAGGACCGCCCACTTCCCGCGGTGTCTATTAAGGAGGATGTCCCGGACGTGGATGCTTTAATTGAGGCGACTGCAGCCGATGCGTCACCGCAGTGTAGGAAACACTTAACACGCCACTTTCGAGAACGCTGAATCTGCCTATTAAAACATTTATAGCCGTGGCATTTCACTTTCTAGTACTTTACTTGCATTTGTTCGTCATTAAAAGCAATTCCCCTAACGGTGTGCAATGTTCAGCGATTTTTTTAGTCGTCGGCAAATTGGACTCTCAACATTTAATCTAATCGAGAACATTTACACAACTCAGACCCCACCAGCAATTTACTTGTCATATTGTCATTAAGCCCCAAACACCTTTCTGACAGATGTCTTTATTTTCGGTCTAGCTTGAAGGAAGGTGTTGATTTAAAGAAAACGACAACACTCGTCTCCAGTCCCTTACGAGGTACAGAGTCGTCACCGCGTGTGATATTTTAAAAACGTGAGAAGCTGTTGAGTGGGACGAGCTTGGACGCCACCGCCCAGGGCAACCGGGACTCAAATGT